GAGGTCGGGTAGACCAAAACATATGCACAAAAGCTAGATGGCCCAATACCATGCGATCCTCACATCCACGTCACATGCTTTTGAAACGTTCTAAAGGCTGGAAACTAATATATGCATACACGCATGCTTGGTTCGGTATACACATATCTGCATGCTCAAACTAATATATACGTAACAGCTTCATTATGTGTAGATACTTATAACCGTTATCCTAGCATCAAGCGCCACCATATTAGTTCTGAAACTGCTAGTGCATCTATATCAGCATCGATTGTGTCTCCTTGGAACATTCCTTATTGCTAAAGCATTTGTATGTATTTTTTTATCTATGCGGCGTTCTTCACTCTTTATTGCCAATGCTGGTCGAGAAGTAACTGTCGATGCTCCTCTGCTTTCTCCTATTGCTATCTTTTCTATCTCTGTTACGCACTCCGCTTGTTTTGCGGCCGTTTGATTTCCCACTGGTGACATGGCTCACGCCATATTTGGGACCCCAAGGATGGGTCTTGATTGGTCGCGGGTATGTCTCACCTAAAACCACACCCGCTTCTCGCAGATCTGATAAACCAGCCTGAGGAAGGATTAAGGAATGCGCGATTGTTTTAGCAAGAGTCTCTAGCTTAACGTACAGGGCAATAGAATAAGCGGGATATTACCATGCGCATACTTCGTCTACCAGACGCATTGGTAGCTGCCATGATATTCTGTCCAGAATTTGCAGATCACAGCCCCCTCGGCTCAACCAAACACTCAATCACGATGATAGTAATCAGTAAGCAGCAGAAGACATGAATTATACTTTAACATGAACTGATATTTGTACGGTAATAAAGACAGACCGCTATCACATGATGAAGCTCCCACACTGGAAAATACGCACGCCGGAGAACTAGTGCAAGTGTAAGACAGACAGATAAAATAGTCCAAATGTGATATAGCAGCCGTATCGCTCTCAGAGTGCCACATACAATGTGGAGTGCAGTGTATATATCACGAAGTACAAACGGAAGGCTCGACATACGGACAGATTGGCGATACTTTTGCGATACTTTTGAAGCGAATACGTCCGCAGCCACACTCACCTTATACGGCTCGATACAGCTTTTGCCAGGCAGTTGGCTCAGTTCCGGGATCCAGTGTTGGACATAGCGGCCATCCGGATCGTATGTTTTCGCTTGCTTCAACACATTGAACCTATGTATTGTACCTGTAGCAACAGAGTCCCAGGGCGATATAAGAAACGCCAATATTCGCCTACTACAATTCGCTGCATGTATGTCCAATATTTGAAGTAAAACGCTGGACCCATGTGTTGCGATTGTCGTAAGAAAGCCTGGTTTCGACGTGTACGCCATGACAGATACAGACACAATCTTGTGTCGTCTCTGCATATGAAAAATAGTGTCGGCTGGTGCATTCTCGTCATCAATCCTGTAAACTTACATATGGACTTTTACGTATGTATTTAGAAGACTCCCATATGATGGGGATTGTGACACTAGTCGTATGGTAAATACTTGTAAACCACATACCTCCATTCAATCCAGCAAGTGCATGCCAGTTACCCCTGTAACAAAGTATGAATGGTATGGGTTAGACCTGCACCGGTTGAAAGAAAAATCGCACGGACTAGAACCTCCCATGGGCAAACAAGTCTACCCAAGATATATAAAAAGGCTATACACACTCACCCGTAGTACAGAAAAGGCTGATCCAAAGTTCAGTCAATTGGCCAACACCTACCAGTTTGAGCAGGGATCGTAATCTATCAACATGCTCTCCATGAAATCCGCACCCAACCGCCAGTCCATGCCCATGTCGTGGATGATGAACGATGCGACAATCTGTCTCCTGTACAGATAGAATAGGGCACCGGATTTGATGAGACATA